CCATTTTCCCTAACCAAGGACTGACTGAGATTGAGGAGAATTGGCAGGAGATAAAGAAGACTACCTGGAGGTTTTTTTTTTTTTTTTAATCAAATCAGCATTTAATAGGCCCCTCCAAATTGGCAGACTTGTGTATCACTGACAAAGTGTCTCCTATCCTGTAACATCAAAGAGTAATTGCCATTTTTGTCTATGAATAAAAGTTGCCACAGTCAGGAAACAAAGCATACAGTTCGCCACCATTTCTCTTATGAAGTTAATTGATTTCTGCTAGTTGAAATTTTATGTATAAAATCAAGTTTCCAAGAAAGAAGCATGCATACTTTCTCTAAAATGTATGCAGAGACCAGACCCTATACCATGATTGAAGCAAACATTTGAACATGTTTCTAACCTTCTTGTATTTCTCTCTGTAAATTATGTAAAATGCATTTTTGCAAATATGGGCAGTAGAAGGTCTCTAGGCATAAAAATGGCCAAAATGCATGTATGTAATATAATATCAACTACATGTGCTTGCTCATTTTTTTCCTTCCTGGTATCTTTCCTAGGGTTTAAAGTAGGGAACAGGAATACTAGAAGCTTTGTGTAAAGTACACCCATGCAAATACTAAGCAGAGAACAAGGCTATAAGCTCAACAGCTAAGCATTATGATATATTTGAGGAAGATGTGATAAAAAGTTTTATGTTGACTGAGCCATCCATGTAGATAACAGAGACTGGCAGTGAAGACAGGCTGGAGTGGAGAAAACGGATGTGAAGCAATGATCACATCTCCCATTGATGAGTAAATGACCAGGGAATCAACAGATGAGGATTCAGAGGATGGATAGTACCATTCCCCAATGGGACAGTTGTGTGTTGTTTTTGTTTTGCTTTGCTTTGCTTTCCTGACAGGAGTAAGTGGGAGAAATGGAAGAATAATCTGGAAATGTAAGGAGGTTGTTGGTCACAAGTGAGAGTTCTTTCATTTTTACTTGAAGTCATTATTAGTTCTAATTTAGTTACTATTCAGAAAAGGAGGTCAAAGAAATAAACTGGTGTTAGTATTGTAACAGAACAGATGGGCATAGTCTGAAGTTAGCCATGTGGGCTGATGGCCGTGGTAACCACTTTTTGCTGGCCAAAGAATGCCCATTTCTGTGGGAACATCAGCAATTGAGCTAAATTTAAAAAAAAAAAAATCTCTTGAAGGGTATTCTGCATCCAGGTTGAGTGCTAGTTTCATTGCTTCTGTTTTAACACCCTAGACAAATCAAGTATTTGCTTCTAGTTCACAAGCATGCATATTGTAATTTCTCGTCTTTGTCAGTATTGTTCTCTTCTCCTTTGTCCAAGGATTGCCTTTTAAAGCCTTTCTCTAAAGCTGGGCTTTTCTTCAGGGACTGTGTATAAGAAAGAAATGAATAGAAGGGGTGGGTTGTTATTGTATACAACTGAACAAGTAGGAGGGGGATGAGGGCCAAACTAGAAGGATGTATTGAGTACGAAAGTGAAGTCTGCATTTGAAACCATACAACTGGCCCTATCACTGAAGAAAGTGAGGGGCCTGGCCCCGAAACTCACCAGGCGAGGTACTTTGCTGACATTGAACTTGGCTCAGAATCTACAATTTCTTTCCATCACTTTATTGCCAGGGGTCAGTCTCCCCTATTCATGGTTTTCATTGTTGTTTAGTTGCTAAGTCTTGTCCAACTCTTTTGTAACCCCATGGGCTGTAGCCTACCAAGCTCCTCTGTTCATGGGATTTCCCAGGTGGGAATACTGGGGTGGATTGCCATTTCTTTCTCCAAGGGAGATTGAGTTTACACTGTGGTTGTTCTACCATCAATAAGACTCCTCCCATTTTCTTTACACAACTGTTCATCAACTGTGGCTGTATTTCCTATTCTGAGCCTAGTCTTTGGCCATCTAGTTGTAGGAAAAAAAAAAGCTTATGTGTAAGAACACCAGGGAATGTTGATATTTTTTAATAAAATTGCTATCATGATGCAAGGCTTTCCAGGGATAAATAAATTCAGAGAACAAGGATGGATGAATTCAGTGGAGCTTTGAACCAATGCAGAGTAGAAAAATAATAGCGTATTAACCTGATTATGACTGAGCAACCTTCACTTCCACTTTTCAACCTGATTAAGGCAAGATATATGCTTAAAAAAATGTATTTACCATTAAAGATTGCATATGTACTTTTAAAACTTTATTAATTCCATTCTGCTTTATTAAGATGAACAACCAGAAAGAACTTCTATTATATGACTTTCTTTTGTTCTTATACCTGTATCTCTCAAGAGAGCAAAATTCTTAAAAAGCAGTCTCAAAATTCACCCCTCCCTGCAACTAACACAAACCACAACAAACATGCCGTGATATGTCTCAAAAGATGTGCTGTTTATCACGCTGTGAGAAGGTCTGCCAAACTCAATCTATGCAATAGAAGTACATCCTAAGACAATTTTTCCTTTGCTTTATGTGTTTAATAGTGTCGTAAATTCAAACCACCTCACTGACTTTACCTGCTAGGCACATTTTGTCTTCACATTTGGATGGATTTGAACTTATCAAGGTGACATGTGTGATTTTTAAGTGGAAACTTTAATTTGTCATTTCTTAATACCCAGCACCAATTAGCAGGGACACATAGCCACCGTAAGAAAGGAGCAGAGTTTGCCTCATACCCAGTCACACAGCCCCTGGTGGGTTTCCTAACTTGAGCCGGGCTACTTCAACCTCATCACACTTTATTATCTACAGCATGCTGAAAGGAAGGCAGGGTGATGGCATGCACCGTGCAGTTTTCCTGGTAACCCATGAGGCTTGAACACTTCAGAGTGGGCTCAAAGCCACGGCAAATCATTTGAAGACTAGAACAGTTTCAAACATCTTTCCTTATTTTCTTTTCCACACACAAATGGAGTAATGCATTTTAAGTGATGAAAAACCCCTTAAAAAGCAAAACAAAACAAAAGCACTTCCCCTTAAAAGCAGCAATATCCCAAGGATACAATTGCCAAATTAAATGAAGATACAAAGAGTGAAGTGTGCTTAAAATCTCCCACATATGTTGGAAATAAAGTCCTCAGAAGTGAATGAATGCATGCAACTAGCACCTAACTCATCATTACAAGAAAATGAGAACTAAAACACTGTTGATCAAGTCATTCTGAATAAAGATGATGACATTAGGGCAGTTTCAGAGAACAGAAATTTATTTTTTCATCATAAACGTGCTTCCATCTTAAGTATTTTCTGACTTTTTACAATTATTGCATCAGTAATGTGCCTGCTTTATTTCAAGTGCAGTAAATGAATTTCTTCAAGTTTATGAAAATATTTGTGTGCTTAAGCAAATTCTCTCCATAGCCTGTTGGGTATTTGAAGTGTCCATGCATCAGATGTCTTTGTTCTCAGTCTATAGGGAAAATTACCAAACACACTCCAGGGTGCCAGGTTTGAAAAGGTGCTGAAGAGAGCCTGCCACATTACCTTTATTCCACTTTAGCTCACAGTGAAAGGTGGAAAAATTACCTGGGTGCCTTTCACTGTGATGGCTCCAACTGCAATAGACTTTATCTAATAGTTTATTACACTCAGAAAACAAAGCATATTCTAAAGAAAGAATCCACGGCTCCCGTCTCTGACAGAATGGTCTCTTTGAATTCTTTTGTTGATTTCATAGATTTCTAACAACCAGAGGATTGTTTTTAAATCTGATTTTTATGCCAGCATCACAATTTCCTCCTCAGTAAGTAGGACAGATTCATCCCAGGAGCAACAATGGATGCCTATCTGCTTAACTTGGGCATGACAGATTAAGCTTCAAGCAGATACACTAAATGCCACCTCCTTGCTTACACAAATTGTTCAGAGGCAGGCGAGTGAGGCCTCAGCTGTATTTGTTCCTTGAACTGTCAGCTGATGAGCCAGTACTGTCTGAGACGGCCAAGCAGGCTTGATTGAGCAAAGACCGTGGATAGGAAGGGCTGCCTAGACATGCCTCACTGCAAGGGCTTTCAGGAAAATATCCCACCTCCAAATTGTACCCACCTTCAGAAAGTTTCTCTGGACAATGCCTTGCAGGAAGAGGGCACTTTTTAGCTAAATATAAAAGAGAAAAAGGAGGAGAAAAAAATGTGAGTTTCGAGAAAATGCAGAGGCCTTTCATGTAGAGACAGATACTTTTCCAATTTGGCCAGATCTGAAATAAATGCCGTTATTTCTTTCTTTTTTTTCCATTTATTTTTATTAGTTGGAGGCTAATTACTTTACATCATTGCAGTGGTTTTTGTCATACATTGACATGAATTAGCCATGGATTTACATGTAGTCCCCATCCCGGTCTCCCCTCCCACCTCCCTCTCCACCCGATCCCTCTGGGTCTTCCCAGTGCACCAGGCCCGAGCACAGATCACCAGCCCAGGTTGGGTGCATGAGACAAATGCTGTTGTTTCTGACCCAGCAGTTAGGCATCACTGACTGGAAAAATTGCTAAGTAAAAAATAAAAGTAAAATTAGCAAATGAACAAGCTAGTAAAACATGAGGAAAATGAACAGTAGGCCAAATCGACTGATAATGTTTGATCAGTTATGTTAGAGAATGATTTTTTATTAGAAAAATAACACTTGTAATATGATGCTTTCTGAAAGAGCATTTGCAGTCTTTTAGAGACCAGTATGTTGCATAAAGAAAACTGCAGAATTATAATATGAGGATCACAATTATTCATACACCATGAGGGGCATCTTAAATTGCTGTTGTTTGTTTGCTAGATATTACCTATAAAACTACAACAGAAAAGTGGTGCTGTTTCCCCCCGCCCCCAACACAGACTTAAGACTCTAGAATCCATCTGTTAATGTTAGAAACAGACTGAGCCAAGCATCACCAAAGCAGGAATGTACTTTCTCATGCTGATGTCATTGGTGGCTATTTTGCTCGTTGAAATCTCGAACCTTTCACAACCACATGCGTATGTTTGTCATTTATCCTTTTTCTCAGGTGCAAAGAAGGCTACCAAGGAGTCCGTTGTGATCAATTTCTGCCGAAAACTGATTCCATCTTATCGGATCCAAGTAGGTCATGCATTTTTCTTCTGTCTCTAACACAAAATAAAACTCTGAGTCACAGTTGCTAACTCATGGACCACTGGATCTCAGTTCTGTGTCTCTGAATGCTGCCGAGGGTGGGAGCTGGGGACAGGCATTCACTTTCAAGGTTTGTTCAGAACTATCTCTGTTGAGATGTAGGTCTTCTCTGGGGATGGAGCCTGGTTTCCAGATTCATCTCCACTGCTACCCTCCCATGGGGGCTGTAACAAATCCTGCTCCCTTAGCTTTCAGGCTCCCTTCCTGCCACCCCATTATGAAAACAAGGATATAGAAACATAAAAGACCTTATTATTTATCCAAAAGAGTGGTATGATAACTGTTATGTCATACTGCTTTTTACCTGCTGGTTGGTAACTTGTGAAAACATTAAACCCTATTAACTTTAACGTTCCTGAAGTAAGGAAATATACATATAAAATTAAATAAGAAGTTTTCAGACCAACTGTGAAAACCCCATTTTTAGCAACCCTATTCGCATATCAGCGATTACTATAACAACAACAAATTAATTTTTTGTTGTTGTTGTTCATGAAAGAAGACAATTTGCTGCTAAGAAATATTGCCACTTATTTCTGTCTCTGTGTGGAGTAAAAAATAATGTTCTATACGAATATGCTCAGTTCTGGTCAAATGTGAAATTTTTCCTTTATCTGTAAATAATCTGATCTTTCAGTGACTGCTACAGTTGAATCACCACTAAGAAAAGGGGACTTTTATTGAATCAGCAGTTTAGTTCAGTGAAGATAATGACAGGCATTTTCAGATTGTAAAAGCAATGTTTTGGTTTTCTGAATACCAAACATGCATAACATAAACTTTAGCAAAATACCATGTATTGATGGCAGCCAGTGGTCACCCTGTCTGTGAATGTGCAGGTTGCTGCATAATGAACATGTTAAGCCATCCTTCAACACTTTTTCAAAGTGCATATTTTTATTGCGCCCCACCCTGAATTTTTAGGTACGTTTCCCTGAGTAAACAGAATATTTTTTAAAAGAAAAGTTTTGTGTAATTCAATTTGCTTGTGTTTTATCTTGACAAGGCAAGCTACCATCATTTAGCATTAACTGTTCTTTTCTTTTCAAATTTAGCTCTCCTAAAGAAAAGTGGTGGTTGCCTAAAAGCCAGTAACCAAACTGGCCATGGTTGATCTCTGTTCTCTGAAATGTGAGGCTCTGGTCCCTAGGAGTTCCCCAGATAGGGGACAGTTACTGGAGTGTGTGGTGTCTTTTCTATCTTGTAGTTTTAGCCACTTGCTCAGCTGATATCTAAAAGGTATGGTTGTGGCTAGAGATGTGTATTTGCTGCATTAGAAAGCATAAAAAGAAGAATGGGTTTGCTGATTTCATTTTCTTTTTATTCACTTTGATGTGCTTAGTTTTCCTTTTTTTTTTTTCCTTTCCTTCTTCCTTATTCTTCCCTTCTCTTTCCTTCCCTTTTATTGTCCTTTTTCCTTTCTTCTCTTTATTATTTTCTTTCTTACCTATGCTCCCTGCCTTCCTCCCTCCCTCCCTCCCTCGCTTTTTCTTTTCCTATATAGCTGTAGAATACCTGTTTGGTACAGGGTACTGGAGCAGGGCTTGCATGTGGAACAAAATAAGTAAAATAACCTTTATTTATACAATCTAATAAAACCTTTGACATTCTATTAAACATAATAGTCCATCACTGCAAATGTTGAAAATGAGACCACTGAACATTTTGAACAAACCAGTACTCGAGAAACCAAGCATTGCACTCGTATTTAGGTTTATTAACGCTGGTGGGCCCAGAGGAGTTAACACTCCAAGCTCTGAGCCCTGAACAAAGGGGTTACAGAGATTTTATACATGGACAGGCATGATTAAGCAGGTTTGCAGGGGTTGGGCAATTATAAAGAGCAGGACAAGGGTGAGTGAGATAAGCTCCAATTCCTAGTATTGTGAGTCTGCACTTTCTGAGACTGTGTGACCTATGTGATCCAGACTTTGCAAGGAGCAAGCTGAGTTACAGAGGCAGAAGGAACAGGAGGTTATGTAAAATTTTAACTTCTCCTCTTCATTCCCCCCTCTTGATGCTTTCTATCACCCATTGTAGAAAGTATCATCTCATGCTTTGATAGGACATTCAGAGTTCCCCATCAGTTCAGGGAGCTATATTGAGTTAGTATCATTTGTAACTTTATGGATTCAATTTGAGAGGTTATGAACTGGGTCATAGCATTGAGAATACAAGGGCCAAAAAGGAGCACCACAAAGAACATGAAGAGAGGACTGGTGAAAGGGAAAAGCCAGGATGCCCAGCTCCAGGTATTGTTCCAATTACCCCAGGAATTTGCTGGTCCCTCTCTCCTTTTTATGATTTGTTCCCTAGCTGTTGGGCCATGTCCCTAACTATTCCTGATTGGTTTACATAAAAGCAGCATTCTTCGTTCAAGAAGAGGCAGTCCTCTCTTTTCAGCTGTCAGTAGGTCTCAGTCAGTCAGTCAGTTCAGTCGCTCAGTCGTGTCCAACTCTTTGCGACCCCATGAATCGCAGCACGCCAGGCCTCCCTGTCCATCACCAACTCCCAGAGTTTACTCAAACTCATAATCCATCGAGTCGGTGATGCCACCCAGCCATCTCATTCTCTGTCGTCCCCTTCTCCTCCTGCCCCCAATCCCTCCCAGCATCAGGGTCTTTTACATTGAGTCAACTCTTCGCATGAGGTGGCCAAAGTATTGGAGTTTCAGCTTCAGCATCAGTCCTTCCAATGAACACCCAGGACTGATCTCCTTTAGGATGGACTGGCTGGATCTCCTTGCAATCCAAGGGACTCTCAAGAGTCTTCTCCAACACCACAGTTCAAAAGCATCAATTCTTCAGTGCTCAACTTTCTTCACAGTCCAGCTCTCACATCCATACATGACCACTGGAAAAACCATAGCTTTGACCAGATGGACCTTTGTTGGCAAAGTAATGTCTCTGCTTTTTAACATGCTATCCAGGTTGGTCATCACTTTCCTCCCAAGGAGTAAGCAACTTTTAATTTCATGGTTGCAGTCAGTAGGTCTAGCCCTCTCCTATTCTGTAAAAATAACCTCAGCCAGGGAATCTAGTTGGTCCTGTGAGGCCACTAAAGATTTGGCTACTCTCTCAATGTAGTCTGTGAAGTCCTTGGATTGTGTATGGTAGCAGGTGGTTGATGAAGCAATTCCTCCTATTCCCATACCTATCCCAGCTGTAATTCCCAGACCAACTAGTAGGGGTATAAACTGGATGACTCTTTTTGACTGCGTATGTGCTGCCAGGGGTACGGTGAGAGTCTGGTTGTTAGGGACAGTATTCATCTGGGGAGTGAGGAAAGCTTAGGGGAAGATACCCATCCAATTGACTGGTAGACAGAAGTAAACAGCTGTTCCACAAAGAGCCCTTGATGGGGGCAACACCATATTGTGTTTGTGGGAGGATGAGTGGGTCACTCACCTTTTAAAGTTTGATTACATTCGTCCCTGGCTAAATTCCCTACAGGTTCAGTTCCTCCATCATTTGTAAAGCATTCTGGAGCCTGTTGAGTTAACTCAGTTGCCCTTAAGACTGGCCCTTGTAAGGGTGGATCTATAGGAGTTCCCATGGCTGTTGCATTATTCATTGGTACAGGTGTAGCTAAGTACTGTGGAGCTCCTAAGGGTAAGCAAAGCCAGCAATCCCTGCCAGCTGGGGATTGGTGTCATCAAGAAGGTAAAGGGCTGCACTGAGAACCTGATACAGATGAGGGTCTAAGGGGCAGTTAACTCTGTAACCTGGGTCATACAGCCAACAGGGGTATGATTTTTTTAGGGCAAAGATGATCTGTGATTTCGTTTGTCAACAGAGCCTGATTTTTTAGGGCAAAGATGATCCGTGATTTCGTTTGTCTGCATTATTGTTCCTGTCCAGTAGGGTTTTCCATTTATTTGGCAGGCAGACACTTGGTCTGGGTTGTAACATCTGCGTGGCATTTGGGGGTAGATGGAGGCACAGGGGCATGATGGCAACACCATGGTGTTGGGAGACCACCTGGGGTTTGGATCCTCTGGAGTGGGAATGATAGTGGCAGCGAGGAGCAAAACTGGAAAACATTTCTGGCACCCAGACTTCTGGACATGCATCACCTGATTATGATGGCAGTAGGTGATTGGCCTACAGGATTGGCTATCTATACATTATTCTAGCTGATGGTTAAGTAAGTGATTTTCCAAGGGTTGACTGCAATATTGACAAGTGCATGATGGATAAGGAACGGCACCATCTATTATAGCAAGGGACACCAGAAGGCTGCAAAGCCACATGTACATAACAGATAACTGAACATTAGCAAAAGGTTTCCTCCCCATCTTTTGGTTATCACAGCTATAGCAACTGAGGCTATCATGAAGGGGGTTCAGCTATACTGGGAGCGATTTAGTTAGTAGGGAGACTCAATCATAAGAGACATCTAATAAGAATGAGGCTTCCCACTACTGTGAGATAACAGACAGCTAACCATAGCTTCTGACCCAAATCCCAGTCCTGGAGTACTACTGAAGCTGGTCCTGTAGCGAAGAGTACAGCAATAATACCAATCAGTGACAGAGGCCAGGATTGACAATGAAAATCCATTTATACTTTGATAGCCAGATCCTCAAGCTTCCACCATGCTTTGACCAGCCAGCTGCGGGAGTGTGGCTGGAATAAGGCTGAAGAATCCTCAGGCTTCTGCCGTGCGTTGACTAGTCAGCTTCTGGGGTGACTAGAGCAGGGCTTAGCGTCCTTCGTGGCTGAAGGCTGTTGTTTTTGGAACCAGACCTTAAGGGGATTTTTGGGGTCTCAAACTGTTTTCCCGGTGTCCTCAGCACAGGAAGCCTCTGCCTTCTTGACTCTGATGTGGTGGATCCAAGGGATGACGCCTGTAACTTTAACAGCAGTAGGGGTCGCCAAGATGACCATGTGAGGCCTGTCCAAACTGGCTGAAGTGATTCCTTGTTC